TCTAGTGCACCCATCACAGTGGAATCTAAGCACTAAGTAGTTCAGTGAAGGCTGCTGAATTATTTAATTTCAGATATTTGTAACATTATTCTGACATAGTATAGACGCAATGCCAGAACTCTGCTAGCCACTGGTCATGAAAAATTCTGAGATCACTCTTGATCCCAGCTTGGCTACAATAATGTCCCCAAAGAAGGAAATGAAAATTTATTAATTAACTACATGATTTTCAGGAAGCACTGGACTATGTTTTACATCAGAGGCTAAAATTAAACAGCTGAAATATTGTTAGACTAAATCTCAAACATAAGCAATGGTCATAAGTAAAAGGTTTCAGATTTAAAATAGGTTCCTAGTAGGGTACCATAGGAATATTTGAAAGAAGCCCAGTTTTCTATTATTGTTATACATTGCTTAGTCAGGGTGATAATGAAAGCAGGATTCATTTGTGTACAGACGCTGAAGGAGCTCATAATGAGGGGAAATGCCAACAGACACAGAGGGGCCTGGAGTGTAGAGGCAGCTGGACTATGAAGGAATCCTAAATGAATTTTAAAGCAGATTAAGGTAGAATTGGAAGTCTGAAAAGAGCTGATTGAAGCAGAGACTATTTGTTCCATATCAGGCAGGGGGACAGAGGGGCTACACTGTCGGAAGAAGCCATAGCTCCCTCGAACCCAACAGCAGCTGTGTCTAAACAGAAACCATCATTGTCAAGCTGAGCAGTAAAGAGAAGAGACTGGGAGATATTCTGAAAAATCCATATAATCTACAGCTTGATATGCTATAACAACAACTAAGGCCATATCTACACTTACACGCTTACAGGAGCACCGATTCAGTTGTGCTGGTGGAATAGTGCTAACGTAGCTGTATTATGGTGATGGGAGAGAGCTCTCCTGTCGACATCATAAAACGAGTTCAGTGAGTGCCCCTTATCTAAAACCCCGCCCCCTGCTCACTCCATCCCCCCTCCCTCCGTCGCTCGCTCTTCTCCACCCTCACTCACTTTCACCAGGCTGGGGCAGGAGGCTAGGGTGCAGGTGGGGGTGTGGGCTCTGGGAGGGAGTTTGAGTGTGGGCTGTGGGAGAGAGTCTGGCTGGGCAGTGCTTACCTTGGGCAGCTCCTGAAAGTGACCACATCCGTCTGGCGGGAGGACAGGGGGTCTCCGTGCGTTGCCCCTGCCCACAGGCACTGCCTCCACAGCTCCCATTGGGTGCAGTTCACAGCGAATGGGAGCTGCAGGGTCAGCACACAGAGACTCCCCTAACCCCCCACAAGGGCCGCAGGGACATGCTGGCCGCTTCAAGGAACGGTGCAAAACCTATAGGGCAGGTAGGAAGACTGCCTTAGCCCCACTGCATCAGACTTTTAGCACCTAAAATCTCCCTGTTTGGCGCTGGGAGGCAGGGAGGAGTTGATCAGCTTGGCCTGTGGACCCCCTGGAGTACTCTCAGGGACCCCCAGGGGTCTGTGGACCCCAGTTTGAGAAATGCTGCTTTAGAGAATTAAGCATCACAACATCCTTCCAATATTGATAAACTTTATTATCCCCATTTTGTGGATGGAGAAACCAAGGCAACCATTCAGACTGGTTTTCAGAGGCACAGAGCATCCATATCTTCCATAGTCTGGGTGGAGTTGTAGGTGCTTCACACTTCTGAAAATCAGGCCCTAAATGGCTTGCCAAAGTGAGTGGCAGAGCTGGCAAGAGAAACCTGGTCTCCTGATTGTCTGTCTTGTGCTTTACAAATAATAGGATGGTAAATTGGCAAGTTGCCTAGTAGCAAAAGTCTGTAAGATATTAAAACCTATAAAACAAAGAGATCCCAAAACTCAAAATTGTTGTGGGAGATAGTAGGGGAGAAGGGACTGAATTGTTTTGAACCCCTCATTTTAAGAAGAGGACCTCGAGAATTCCCAAAAGGTCCCCAAAATACTACAGACCCCTCACTAAAAAGCTTTCTAGAGGTATGCATTTCAACCTGTGTGCTACAATGATACTATATAAAATTGCTATAGGATATGTTACACAACCAAGCAATCAAATGAGGATAGGAGAGCTAGAGCCTGTACAGTATTTTATATTTAAATTGCACTTTTCCCATAATGCCTTCAGAAGCAAATCCATCCTATTACAAATGAGAAAATTGTTTCCTTGTGTAGCTTCCAACTCCTCACTACCATAAAGTACTTTTGGATCTTTCCCTCAGACTCATGTATTGGGCTAATTAACATTATTCTAACAGGAGGATCCCAGAGCGCTGCTTCCGCATTTTTCTTTCCAGCTTTTGCTGGTGCTCTCATGTTCTTTTGTTAAATAATTAATAATCATTACTGTCTGCTGTGCAGTGTGTATGTGCTGGTAATAATCTCAGAACCCATCATGTTTTCACCATTCCTGTTCCTGTCTGCAGCTTGGGTTTGCTCTTTGGAAGAGCTTTCATGTTAAGACCTTCATTAACTGGCAGTGGGGTACAGATTTCAGTAGCATTAGGCTTTGATGTCATTAAATAAACTACCAAAGGATGGGCCACTCATTTCATTGCTCTGACTATTTTTATGTAATTGAGATAAAATATAAAATAGAATAAAGATATATTTACGAAGTAATACTTAACCCTTTTCATCTCAATCATTTTATAAATGCTTAGACCCAGATCCTCAATTATTTCAATGGGAATTGGGCACCTGAATACCTTTGAGCACTGAGCCTTAACTCATTGTTCCCCCAACTCCTTTGTGTGGAAGGTAAGTAAGCAACTTGACCACAAAAGAAATCCATGTCAGAGCCAGTCTCAGAGTGTTAGAACTGAGATTTTTGTGTTCCAGTTTTGTGCTAATTTCTCTCATCAGTCAAAATCGCCATCCTACTTTTATTGAAAAAATATCAGTTAACAATTTTCATTAAACTATGCATCCCAGTGATAGACACCTTTTGTAGCGCTAAAGGATTCTGTCATTCTGGCTGCATGAACAGTTGCACATGAACTCCTACAGTAGTCTGTTAGTAGTTTAAGCTTGTGCCATATTTATTTGGAAACATAATTTTCCCAAGGCATGAGATTTGACTTTTGACTTTATGTCGTAGCTGCTTCAGAATGTCTCAAGGGCCATATGTGACTTCTTCCTAAAATTATAGGAGTTGAAGGTTGTGGCATCTGTGCTCATAAAAGCAGTTTCTCATAGATTTGCAAAAAAGACCTATTACTTGAATGTCACAATAATCTGGGCATTCTTAATATATCGGCTCCTTGGCAGGGTTAGAACATAGCTGGTTATGGTGTCTGTAATTTAGTCTTAGTGGAATGTGTTTTAATACTGGGCTGGAGATACTGTAATAGCTAAGGCCCCACCAGATTCATGGCCATGAAAAACATGCATGGACCATGAAATCTGGTCTTTTGTATGCTTTTACCCTATACTATACAGATTTTATGAGGGAGACCAGCATTTCTCAGTTGGGGGTTCTGACCCAAAAGGGAGTTGCAGGGGGGTGGCAAGGTTATTTTAGGGGGGTCACAGTATAGCCACCTTTACTTCTACGCTGCCATTAGAGCTGGGTGGCTGGAGAGCAGTGACTGGTGCCAGCTCTGAAGGCAATGCGCCCAGCTCTGAGGACAATGCCCCACCCGCAGCAGCACCGAAGTAAGCATGGCAATACCATACCACCCTTACTGCTGCGCTGCTGCCTTCAGAGCTGGGTGGCTGGAGAGTGGCTGCTGCTGACTGAGGGCCCAGCTGTGCAGGCAGCAGGGCAGAAGTAAAGGTGGCAATCCCATGCCATGCCATGCCATCCTTACTTCTGTGCTGCTGCTGGCGGCAGCTCTGCCTTCAGAGCTGACCTACCAGCCATCAGCCACTGGCGTCCAGCTCTGAAGGCAACGCCGTTGCCAGCAGCAGCAGTGCAGAAGTCAGAGTAGCAGCACTGCAACCTCCCCCGCTACAATAACCTTGCGACCCCCGCACACACAACTCCTTTTTGGGTCACAACTCCCTATAATTAGAACACTGAAATTTCATATTTAAATAGCTGAAATAATGAAGTTAACAATTTTTAAAATCCCCTGACGGTGAAACTGACCAAAATGGACTGTGAATTTGGTAGGGCCCTCCTAATAGCACAGCCACATCCAGCTGCGTAGGATGGCTAGAGGGAAGGCGAGGATGAGTTCACCACATCGCCTGGCACTGCTTTATAATGTCAGAGTCTGATTCATAATATCTGTCCTAACAAAGTGGGCATCTAACTTCATACCAGGACTTGGACTTAGAGCCAACTCTGCTAACGGTACTAACCTTTCAGCAAGAAGCGTAAATGACAGTATCAGTGGATTCCCCACTGTGCTAGCAGCCTTGCAATGAGCCTGTGTTTAGTCCACTCCTGTTCTTCCTCCCCTAAACCCCAGTTCTTACCCTTCTCCTCCCCACCGCTTTTGCCTCCCTTCCCTTTCTCAGAGGGACTCTTCCCTAGGTTTGTTGGCCACACCTCCTTCTCGCGGGCTCCTCCTGCTGAATCACTGACCACGCCCTTTGTCCTCCTTCTAGCCCCCCACCCCCTTCTCCGCCAGCTAGCCACCCCCCTACCTTTTAACTCCTCCCACTGGTTATTTGGCCGCTCTCACCCCCACTCCTTTCTGCCCTCTCCTCTTCGTTTTAATCCCACTCCTCGTCCTCTGGCTATTCCCTATGCTGGGCTCCCCCTTCCCCCGGGTTTAAACTCATTTTGCCCCCCCCCGTTACTTGGCCCCGCCCCTTGACTGTAGCTCCACCCCAAACGTGGCCACACCCCTTTCCACCTCTCTGGCCCCTCCCTTCCCTATGGCTCTAACTCCTCCTCCTATGTCCCCATGGCCCCACCCCCAGGTTCGGAGGCCGCCCTCTGCCCCGCCCCCTCGGGTTGTGCCTGAGGCGCCGCCGCTGCCCTGGGCGCTGGGACGCGGCGGGTCCCTCCCCCGGAGCCGCCCAGGCGCCTCCCTCGCTGGGCCGCCGCGGTGAGTCACGACGGAGGAGGCGGCCGCTCGCGCTCGCTTTCTCTCTGCCGCGGCTCCGGATCAGGCCCCCGCGCCTGCCGCCGCCGCCCGTCCCGCCGGGAGCCCGCCGCCCCTTCGCCTGCCCCGGGCCGCTCTGGCCCCGCACCCAGGTGAGCACCGCGGGCCCGGGGCCCCGCTCCCGCCCGCCCTTTGTTCCCGGGGCTCGGGCTGCTGTAACAAAGGGAGCTGGGCCGGGAGCCGCTTGGTGTGAGGGAGCCTGGGGGCCAGCCCCCCTGTCCCGGGCCTCTCTGCCAGACCCGTCAGCCCCCACCCGGGTCCCGCTCCGCCTGGCCTCCTCAGCTCCAGCCCCCCGCACTGCGTCCTCCCCTTCCTGGGGCCTTCTCGCTGCCCCAGGCCCCCTCCTGGGGCTGCTCCGCTCTGCTCCTCACCCAGGGCGCCTCTCCGCTTCCCCGCTCGCTGCCTCCTGCTCTAGGGCTCTCCCGGGTCCCTCCACCCCTTTCTCGGGGCTCCCCGCTAGGCTCCAGGCCCTCCCCAGCGGGGCCCCGAATCCCCCCTGCGCTCTGCTCTCGGGGCACCCGGACCCGCCCTTCCCGAGGCTGGTCTCAGCGCCGGTCCCAAGGACATTCCTCTGCAGAGTGCCCCCGTCCGCTTGGTCCTGCCTTACCTGCTCTGAATCCCTGCCCTCCTCCATCCCCTCGCCTCGCTACTCTGCCCCACGCAACCCTTCCCCCCTGAAGATGCTGATTTCAGACTGACTCCTCACGGGTTCCGCCCCTAGCCAGAGCTGCCTGCCGAGGTAGTCACAGTCCTAAACTAATGATGAAGATGACACTTCGCTTTCGGTCAGGTCGTATAGCCGATAGCTACTGTCTTCAGCGTGCTCTGTAGCCTTTTACTTCCCCTTTTCTCTCTCCTTCTGCTGGTGGTGCAAAAAATCTCAACTCCTGCTGTGGAAGTTGGGTAACAGCATGTGATTTCTGTCTGCCTTGAGTCCAAGTGGTTTTAGGCATTCATGGCTTTTAAACCCCGACTAGTAATGGATACTTAGTCACCACAGTCTTTTAAAATAGGTATGGTATTTTGCTTCACTTCCTGACTGCTATGTTGTGTTTCTGTGCACTATTAAACAGCTGTTAGGTCCTACCCCAGAAGTGACTGCATTTCTGTGGCAGGTGAGGTAATTCCCACATAAAGCTGATTAATGTGCTTTAAAATCTTCAGATGACAGGTGAGGAATACAATTTTAATAAACAGAGCACTTAAGCTCACAGCAATGTATTCCATGCAATCTGTTCATGTGTACAGTATGCCTTATAAAAGTTACACCCAGCTTCATAGCTGTTAGAGACAAATACAGGTAATTTAGATTGAATGGCATACAGGTAGAAGAAATGTGAAGAGCCTCATTATGAGGCTCCAGGAAGTATTTAATAGAGATTGAGATGGAATTTAGTTGTAGATATGTCTGTATAACCTTGAATCTAAATAGATGTGCTCTTGATCATTTCTGTTAAAGTAACATATAATTGCAGGGTGCACAATGTCAGGGCAGCATTAGGCCTGAGCCAATGGTGCAGTTGCAGTAGGGTTCTGTGCTTCCAGGGGCGTCTGTTGTTGTACCACATGCATGCAACTGGACTCCCAGCACCATCTATTCTGCTTCCACTCTTCAGCAGATACTTCATTCCCCAGTTTCCAGCTCCCCAGTTGAATACTGAGAATAAAGGTGAACATCTGTTGGCTTACAATATATTTTTTTTCTTCACTTTGATGGCAGACAGCTGCTTGTGACAGGGACAATGAATGATACTCCGTAGAGCAAATCATTGTCAGAGGCCAGGGAGAGAGGTATGTCAGTAGTTGAAATACTGTTTCTGCCCTGGGAAATGGATAAGAAATTAGTTTGGACTCTGCTTACCATCTAAACGTACTTTATAAATACGCTTCTGGTACACTCTGAGGAAAGGTAAAAGCCATGTCATTTTGTGGTCTGTATAGGTACTCTCTTGTGGGGGAGAAGAATAGAATAGTTTGCTCTTTTGTGGAGGGTCTTTTTGAGGATTTCTGAGCTCTTGACAAACTCATTAAATAAGTTTTATAACTCTCATATGAGGCGAGGTAAGGCATCTCTTTCTTACAAATGGAGTAAGTGTGCAAAAACTAAGGCACAAAGAAGTTGAGCTAATCAGGCTAAATCATAGGTTCAAAAATCTGCAGGATTACTGGCTTTGAATCCAGTACTGTAGAAAGTTAGACAGCTACTGTCCTGTTATACCCAAACAGCTATCTTTTCTGATAAATATTGAGGGGAGCACAATTGTGTGTGTAAAGTAAAAATTACCTTTAGGTAGCCTACTAAACTACTATGTTGTGCATTAATTTCTCTAGCTTTGGTATTTTATTGCCAGTGTCTGACATGAAGTGTATATTGTCAAGTATTGGATGTGCATCACTATATTTTAGTGTAAATCCACATACTTTAAAAATAGAAATATTGAGAGATGTGTATGTATAAAACTTTTTAATACTATACCTTTACATAAACAGACTTATCCTGTTATCAACCTCAAAGCCAGCACCCTATTTTCATCCTATCTTTTGCCTCTGCCACATGGGCATAGATGGAACACAGTAACGGATGTGCTGTAGAAACGCTGGAATGACTTCATGATGCTATTAGCAGGAAAAAGTGTTTGCTCTTTGATATTATTTGCAGCATTTTTGTAAAAATTAGTAGATTCCACAGTATAACTGTAGCGTTTGTATGTGTGGATTTATGCGCTCTTTCAGTTGATGTAAGCACGTGTTAATTGGATAAATCTAAGCAGAGCTTTCAAGAATTAAAAAATAGATCATAAAGTAGCAATGAGAGAGAGGGAGCTGTAAGTGAGTTAACTGAATATATATAAGTTGGCCATTTGAAGTGCTTCAGTCCTCATAACAACTATTGTGAAATAAACTACTTAAAAATGTAGTGCAATTAAAATACAAATTTTGGCAAAATCCTGAAAATGCCTCAAAGTGAGCAGAGACTGAGATTTCCAATGGAAACCCATTCAATATTCTGGGGATGGCCCCTACAACATTAACATGAATCATGTTTGTCATCTTCCTGGACACGTAATTATTATTTATTTGTTATTGAAGTTGCACCGAGAAGCCCTAGTCATAGACCAGGAATCCATTGCGCTAGGAGCTGTACAAACACAGAATAAAAAATACAGTCCCTGCTGCCAAAAAGGAGAATGGAGCAATTCTACCTGATAGTGATGCGTGTGCTTTTTGACCTCACCCAGAAGGGAGAGGAGTATATAATGGTAAATATAATGTCCATCAGGGGTTTGCAAATACACAGTTATTCATATAAAATATTAAAGAATGTTAGGTGCATAGGGAACAACTTGTGTAAAATAAACTGGTCGTGGCTATTTGCTATGAAATGCTGTTGAGTTGCTAACCTCTCTAAAAAGAAAAGGAGTACTTGTGGCACCTTAGAGACTAACCAGTTTATTTGAGCATAAGCTTTCGTGAACTATTATGCTCAAATAAACTGGTTAGTCTCTAAGGTGCCACAAGTACTCCTTTTCTTTTTGCGAATACAGGCTAACAAGGCTGCTACTCTGTAACCTCTCTAAAGTTTCATTATTATCTGGAATTAGAACCTTTCTGTAAAATGTAAATCTATTCAATTTTTTAAAATGTTTTAATTTATACATCCAGTATTTTAACAGAAAGCAGCCATCTTCATAGACTGACCTAGTTTGCTATGCCAGAAATACAGTTCAGCATTGAGTGCATATGGGAGGCAAGAACTTTCAAAAACCACTGTTGAATTTATTTAGAAAAAAATTCATTACAGCTTTCCTCATAACAACCTTGATATCTCCTGAAAATTTCCCATTCATTCAGATGCTGACTTGCAATTCCTCTGTTGCAAACTGTTATCAGATTGGATTTCCAGCTGAGAGGTATCAGTAAAATAGCAGCTATCACTGACACACCAGCACCAGTCATGTAGTTGAAATGCTGAAACGGTGACTGGTCCTTGTATAATTATTTTGAAAAATATTTTAAAAATAGTAGAATCCTTATGGTTATCCTGAATATTTATATAATGGGGAGTCAATAGAAGAGGGAGATGTGCAGGAAATTGGTTAGAAATAGGGGTTCGGATAGTGAAAGTGTTGGGTAATGGAGATATTTTTGTATTTACAAATGTAATATTTTAAATACTAAAACTAATCAGTGATGATTTTAATTTTGAAGTATCGTCCACTATGGCATGCTCCTCTGGAATGCTATCTGTGGCTGAGTAGGCCTACCATAAACAACAAAGACTGAAACACATAATAAATAGAGGCTTACAAGAGATGAAAACAATATTTAACATTTAATAGTTTCTTCCTGTCTCTTGCCACCCCCCCACAAGATAATTAAACTAATCAAGATCCATCCTTTGACCCCAAGTATCATGCAGAGTGCGCCTTACAAAGAAATATATATATATAAAGATTTTGTACTGTTTAAGATATTATCTAATAATCTTATACCTTAATTTACATATTACATGAGAACTATACATTCTTCATATTTAAGGAACCAATTTTGGAAACCCATTATAAATTGCCTTGTCTGTGTCTCTTACAAAACTTTGAGACTATGCTCTATTTTCTGTCTTTTCAGTTTAAGAATTTTGATTTGCTGAGATATGAAGTGTGTTCATTAATTTCAGCCCTGATCCAAGAAAGCATGTTTAACTTTAAGTATGTGCATAGTATCATTTAAGCTAATTGAGCTACTTGTGTGCTTAAGTTAACCACCTGCTTAGGGTTTATGTAGTATTTACAGGTTAAGAGAAAGCAAGGACCAGAAACAATTCTCCTCGGTAATTTTATAGAGCAAGCACTGCTGAGGAGCTGGGATTAACTCTGGGTCTGTGTTGGCCAAAGAAATATCAGATAGTGTTGCATATTGCGTACTGCAGAGAATTAAAAATGAAGATTCCCTTTGTTCTGTTCCTTGCTCTGCATTTGACTTCCGATGTGAAGAGTTGGACAAATGCTGAAAATACTTTGAATATCAGTTTGAATTTTTAAGCTAGTTTAAGTATTTGATTTTTTTGTGCCTCATCTGCATTCACTTTCTGTGA